TGGTGTCCCTGTGACTCCATGCCACAGTGTCCCATGCTGTTTTCAAGTCACGTGTTCAGCATCACTTGTATGTTGCTGTTGTTTATCAGCTCAGCACAGCTATTTCAGCAAGCCAGAGGTGAGTTTTGTGGTGATTTCTGCATCCAGTGTGCCTGTCTCCGTGTTTGTGGGAGAGGAGGAAGTGGCCAGATCCTCCCTCGCCATGCACTCACCCATGCTCCCCGCCACCTCACTACCATACACCACCATGTACTCACTCCCTCTGCTGTGTTGTCTGCTGTTTTCCATGTGAATTCATTGCCAGAGCTGTGTATCCGAGTGCCCGAGGCCACTCAAAGCTACGTGGATCAGCATGCCACATAGATCACGATGCCACGTGGATCTCAACGCCATGTGGGGTGTGGTCGAAGCCACACAGATCTACGAGCCACGTGAGTTACCGAGCCAAACATCCCAGGCCACATGCTGTGGTCTGCTGCTGCCCAACTTCATGACATCACGATGTCTGCCTGATGTCACCTCGAGACGTCTGCTGATGTCACAGTGCTGCTGACATCACCTCACGAGGTCACGCCTGTCATAACATCGAGTGTTTCAGTAATTATGTCAGTATTGTTGAGAAGATTGAGAGAAGATATATGTTGTGTGTTAATTAATTCCTTCAGTCAGTGTTCTCACATGTTAGTGTATGGCTTAGTGTCAATTTTGTGCACAGAAAAGCATCATTTGCTAGTTAAGCCATGTTGTACCACATGTACTGCTGGTGTGTGTAAAGTTTACCGTGTGTCCAGTGTGGTCTTGAGCCAAGACCAGTGTGTAGCACCACTGTGTTATTGTCACCCGGTGTGACCAGCGCATTTGACAACTGATATTAGCCCTGAGCTTATGAGCCCCTTGTACAGAAAGCTCTTATGCTCGTCGCTCATAGATGTTCTGCAGAATCATACCTGCTACGATTCCCATCGAGATTTGTTTCACTTCACCTCCAGACTTTCAGAGTACAGTTATATGTAGAGAAACAAGTCTGGGGACACTTAGACTAACCTCTGCTATAACTCCAACTGCCGAGAGAATGACACTCGTCAAGCTGCAGTTAGCCCTGTCGGCAGGCGCTGTGTCAGCCTTGTGTCACAAGCTTCAGTGAGCAGCCTGCACAAAGATGTCACTTGACTGCTAGCTTGCTCACTGCAGTTTGATGTATGATGTTACAACTTCCAGATGTTTCGCCCAGTCGTCTCTGCCACAATTCGCTCCACGACTCGCTCTACGCTCGCCGGCAGTGACAGCCCAGTGACAGTACCAGTCGAGAAGTGTCCTCCTGAGTCACTTGCCAGAAGAAGTTCTGCCCAGTTGCCGAATACTGACGACGCCTCACTCGAGGGCACCAGCATGTCGTGCCCCAGGTTAAGTGAAACCTGCAGTGACTCCTACAATGACTGCTTCACGTTCTAGAGGAGACCTTACCCTGTTACATCACAGCTCAGCTGCAGTGATGTATCCTGTGTGGCAGTATCTGTCCAGATGCAGGAAGGCATGCAGTGATACCCATCGACGCTCACTGTCTATGACCACGATGTTTAGCACACCCCACATGTTTTTTCTTCCCTCCCTGTAAGAAGTTTATTTTCCATGTCCATATGTATATACATGTTTTTTTATTTTGTGTTCTGTGCCTTGTTCCTACGAGAGAGAGACCGATTTTTTTTTACTACCAGTATTGTAGGTGGCCGAGCAAATGTAGACAGCCTGTACTGTCTGCACAGACAGCCTATGCTGTCTGCCAGCTTAGTTCATATTTCACGGCACTCAAGTGCTGCCCTCTCTCGGCCTGCCCAGGTCAGTGGGCATGGCCCTTCTGGGCCATGGGCACAAACACACAAGCCTGTGTACCCTCCACGACTTTGCAAATAAAGTAAGAAGCCTCCGAAGACGTTCATCATTGAACCCCGCTCCGCTGCAGCATTCACCAAATAATTTCGTTCACAATAATAATAATAATAATAATAATAACCATACTAAATTAAATCATTTCATTCTGGGAAAAACAACCAAATAGCCCCATTTCATAAAAACAAGTGTCCTGTGACCTAGTAGGCAACGTTCTCACCTCAAGCAGAAAGAGTAAGTTTATTCAGGTACAGGTACACATAAATACAGTTACATAAAGAACAAAGATGCACAATACCGTGACTGGAACACACAAATAACCCGCACAATAGGAGAGAGGAGCTTACGACGACGTTTTGGTCCCGACTTGGACTATTTTCAAAGTCACACTAACAAAAATGAGAGGAGGATCCAGTATATATAGGCCAGCTGGCAGGGACAGGACAAGTGAGGTGGAGGGAGTAGTAGTGGTAAGGCAGGTAGTGTTAGTAGTAGTAGAATTAGCAGTGGTAGTGTAAAGTAGGGAGAGTGGTTGGGACAAGAATACAAAGGGGAAGTGAATGATGAAGGAAGGCAAAAGCGAAGGTAGGGGGCAAAGGTAGAAGGAAAGAAAGGGGTAGTAGTTGTAGTGGAGTCAGCCAAAGGCCAAGAAAGAGGAGTACTGCAAAAGACCTAAGAGCCCACAAGGGGTGAGACCAAAAACACACGGGATGGGGGTGGGGGGGTGAAGGACAGAACACTCAAGGCAGAAGAAAGGAAACCCAAAAAAAGAAAAAGGAAAAATAGGAAGGGAAGAAGTAGAGAAGGAGAAAAAATACTCAGGTTAAATCACGTGTGTTCTAAGTTTGAAGCATTTGATAGTGTAATGGGAAAGGAAGCCGTCTACAGAGAAAAAAAAGGCTTAAATTTTCATAATAAATATTCAGGAATCATATATTTCTTACTAAGGTCCCGAAGTGAGTTGGGAAGCTGAGACAGTGGGCATTGAAGGAGGGACATTGTTAGGACCAATTGTTTCTCAAGTCCCACATATCTGCAAGGTGCATCAATATCAGTAAGTTAATATTTGTTTAAATGTATCAAAGTTCTCGCCAGTTATGTGGGTGAAAGATTAATTCAAAAAATTAATTAATTCAAAAATTTTGCAAAATTTCACTCACTTAATTTCTCACAACAAGCTTTGACATGTGCAGACAGTTCGTTCCTCTCTTTATTTGTGTACTGTAAAAGGTGTTTGAAGCCTACCACTTACTGTGAGTATTACAGTGTTCCCTTGCCCTAGTACTATACTTGATTTGGTTTCCAGTCTTGACAAACTTGTCCTACAAAGAAAGGTTGAGGGAAATCGGACTGACGACACTGGAGGACAGGAGGGTCAGTGGAGACATGATAACGACATACAAAATACTGCGTGGAATAGATAAGGTGGACAGAGGCAGGATGTTCCAGAGAGGTGACACAGAAACAAGGGGTCACAATTGGAAGCTGAAGACTCAGACGAGTCACAGGGATGTTAGGAAGTATTTCTTCAGTACAGTGGTCAGGAAGTGGAATAGCCTAGCAAGTGATGTAGTGGAGGCAGGAACCATACATAGTTTTAAGATGAGGTATGACGAAGCTCAGGACGCAGCGAGTGAGAGGACCTAGTAGCGATCAGTGAAGAGGCGGGGCCAGGAGCTGAGTATCGACCCCTGCAACGACAATTAGGTGAGTACACACACACACACACACACACACACACACACACACACACACACACACACACACACACACACACACAAATACTGAGAGGAATTGACAAGGTGGATAGGCACAGGATGTTTCAGAAATGGAACACAGCAACAAGGGGTCACAATTGGAAGTTAGACACACAGACGAATCGCAGGGATGTTAGGAAATATTTCTTCAGTCATAGAGTTGTAAGGAAGTGGAATAGTCTGGAGAGTGATGTAGTGGAAGCAGAATCCATACATAGCTTTAAGAAGAGGTATGATAAAGCTCATGGAGCAGGGAGAGGACCTAGTAGCGACCAGTGAAGAGGCGGGGCCAGGATCTATGACCTGCCCCCTGCAACCACAACTAGGTGAGTACACACACACACACACACACACACACACACAGCAGACACGCAGCAAGTGTCTAGTGGACAAGTGCGTATGAGAAAATCTTAAAAGGCTGATAGGAAAGAAAAACTGGAGCGGCAGCTGGAGAAGTTACAATGCCTCCCACATGTATCATTCAATAATTAATGTACACCTCCCAGTGTGTATTAAACCCCACACAACAGGTAAGGTAGCGAGGTATTGGCCAATATTATGTTGCCTTCCTGTTGAGAGGCGTTAGGATACACCAACAATAGAATAAATGGGTAAATGTGTTGTTATAATATTAATTGTTATAATATCTAATTGAAAATTAGATCTAAAATGTAATTAAATCTGCCAAGCCTATATCACTTTTTATAATCATACAGTCCACCAATTAGCCAGTGTTACTGGTTTAAATTTTCAAAATAAATATTTAGGAGCCATATGTTCTTAAACCAGAGTCCCGAAGTTAGTTGTGGAGCTGAGACAATGGTCACTGAAGGAGGGACATTGTTTGAGATCCCAGTGTTCCTAAAGTCCCACAAGTCTCCAAGATACATCACCATCAGTAAGTTACTATTTATTTTTGTGTCTAGAAATCTCCCCAGTGTGTGGGTAGAAAAGTTAATTCGAGATTGTTTACTCGTGGAAAATCCCCACGTAATTTCTACCGATTTCAGACTAATTAAATATTTTAATGAAAAAAATACAATGAATATGGCGTTACTTAAATTACTTAATAATTCAAACCAGACTCAGTCTTTAATATTACAAACACAATCAAGAAAATATTTCTCAAAATTGTTACAATACCTAAACACTTACACATTTCAGATTTCCCCTATATATTTTCTCAACTCAAAACAATGACAGATTATTAACAGTGAAGAGTTGAGTTGATTTTTATATATTATTAAGCTTTTGCTTCAAGTTCTGTATATTCAGATTTTGAAAATTCAGGAAATTAATCATGATTTAAGGCAAATGATTGTTCCCGAATTTCAGAGTGAGAAGGATAAGCCAAAGGAAGACTTGGTCTGTTAGCCACAATTTTATTTTGACATATTATTCACGTATTCTGATTTGAAAGTTTCGAGAACTACAGAATAATACAACCAACAGTTGGGATATATATATCTATATACATATTTTATCATAAAGGTGTATGGAGTTTGTCTTTATGTTTACTGAATAAAATAATTGTTAAGAGTCGGTAATAACAAATCAAAAAAAATCTGAGAGTAAAGTTGCAATAATCGTGCAGAAGGTTTCTAATTACAAAACTAACATGTCTATAGTAAAGAAACCCAACATACTTAATATTGGACTTGGGAAGTTTAAACTTTTTATCAAAATATTTCTTTATAATGAAATGAATAACTTTTAAGGTTAACCTTGTTTTTGAAAAAAGAAATTGTTCAGTTCCAAATATAAGTTAATTCAATTGGAAGAAAAGTAAAAATCGTCGATGAATTACGTATCTAATGACATTAAATTCACATAGATTTGGAATACAGAATAAACAGTTTAAAACTTGACCAGTGAATGTTAGTTCACGATACACAGCAATCTCAAAAACATAAACATTGTATATTAAGATATCTTGAATGAAAGAGTGTCTTCCATTTGGACCTCTACAATATTGTACACAATGTTTTCTCATTTGTGCTTGAAATCAAAAACTTTAGCATGAGATTTCCTGCTAATATGTCAAAAAAAAATTTTTTAGATCTTTATTTACTAGGGACAAACACTGTTTGAGTAAATTCTTCATTTGCTGAATCTGATTTAGCAGATGGAATTAACAAGAATCGATTAAATTCTATGTTGAAACTCTCTGTTCATGACTTTACATGTTCAGTGATAAACTATATGAGAAGATTAACGGTGTTGCAATGGGTTCTCCTCTTGGGCCACTCTTGTTTTTGTTTTTCTATGTTTTCATGAAACAACTTAACTTGATAATTGCCCGTTAAATTTATTCTGTATCTTGCAGACATAATATTGATGACATTTTATGCTATTGAAAAGAGAAGATCATATTATGATGCTCAAAAATTATCTAAATTCACAATACTGAAAAAATCAAATTACTGAATAGATGGAAAAGGATAATGTTCTTTTGTTCCTACACATCCTAATTACAAACAGTGAATGAATATGTCATATTTTACCATTTTTATTGAAAAATTTGTATATTACTCTTCATATGATGACTTGTGAATGAATTTTCTGATTCCCTTCAAATTGTACACGCAAATGTTTAACTCCAATTATCAATTTATACCTCACTCAGCACTATTCCAGTCGTATGTATTAAGGAAATAGGGTTATGGAATACGAGGAAACTTGATTGGGATCTCGACTCGACTGAAATACACTTAGTTATTCATAGTCTTCAATGAAAATGTAACATCACTGATACCGATAACGTCAGTTAAGCAAGCTTATCTTTTGTTTGTATATTAGTAAATATGAATTTTATCATCAGTAACACCATCTTCTTGACGATGAAAAAAGTGACGATAACAGCCAGGAAGAGAAGCAACAAAACGTCCAGCATCAGGTACTCTATCCAGGAGAGGTTGGCAGCTGGAGACCTGAGCTGAGGCGCTCCTCCGTGACGGATCACATATTCCGTCCAAAACACTGCCCGCTCTTTTGGTGTCGTCAACTGGTCCCTCAGAGAGTTTGATAGTTCCTGCATGTTCCTCTTGTATCTTTAAAACATTAATTGTTGTATATAATTGTATACTCCCATTCATACAAACACACACACACACACACACACACACACACACACACACACACACACACACACACACACACACACACACACACACACACACACACACACACACGCAAACACACACACACACACACGGTGTGACAAAGACAGGATGTTCCAGAGATTGGACACAGTAACAAGGGGACACAGTTGGAAGCTGAAGACACAGATGAATCACAGGGATGTTAGGAAGTATTTCTTCAGCCACAGAGTAGTCAGTAAGTTGAATAGTTTGGGAAGCGATGTAGTGGAGGCAGGATCCATACATAGCTTTAAGCAGAGGTATGATAAAGCTCACGGCTCAGGGAGAGTGACCTAGTAGCGATCAGTGAAGAGACGGGGCCAGGAGCTCGGACTCGACCCCCGCAACCTCAACTAGGTGAGTACACACACACACACATGGAGACAGCTTTTAGTGAAACTGGGAAAGAGGTTGAAACTGCAGTAGTTAGGATAAGGGTCCTAGAAGACGAGGTAAACAGGTTGAAGCGAGTTACAGGGGTATTCACCAGAGACGACACAGTATATGAAGCTGGGAGGCCCAACGAGAAGGAAGGAGGTATAACTTACGCTAAGGCCACATCAGTCTACCAAGCAGGGCCAAGGAGTGAAGGGGAGAGCACCTTAGCGCAGGTGGAGAGGGGGATAGGTCAAATGCAGTGGCACGAACATGCCACCAAGAGCTACTGGAAAAAGACAAGGGAGAAAATGACCATGTACAGACAGGAACCACAGTCACAGAAGGAAAGGCAATGGGAGGAGGAAAGGGTGAAGTCAGTGTTTATTCATGAGCTTCAGGAGAGCAAGGGAAGGACACACATTGAAAGGCGGCAGACAGAAAGAAAGGAGATTGAGAACATCGTCACAGAAATAGGTGAAGAGGACATATCCAAGATTGTCAATTATCAGAGAATAGGGAGATATTTGAAGGGGAGAAAATGACTGATAAAGCTGGTTTTCAGGACAAAAGCAGTGCAGAATAGGATCCTCCAAAAGAAACCACAGTTGAACGACTCAGCAGAATACAAGAGGGTGTTCCTAGACCGAGACAGAACACAGACAGAACGACAGTAGCTGAGGGAGGGGACACAAAAGGGAAAAGAGCTAGGAGGAGAGACAAGGACAGAATCAGCAGAGGACAACTGGATCAGGGCAGAACAACAAGAGCAATTACACAAAGAACCATCCCCAGAACCCCACAATCAATCATACTATCCCAACACAAACCACAATCCACACTTACAGCTCGCACCCAACACTCAGTTTTAGAATCCCACAGTACACTGTCAGGTCCCCCACCCTCACAGACCCCCCAAAACACAGTATTGGAGAGGAAACTGAAGGTATCATACACCAACGCTGATGAAATAACAAATAAGTTGGAGGAGTGGTACGAAAGAGTCAAAGAGGCATCACCGCACATCATAGCTCTCACAGAAACCAAGCTTACAGGTATGATAACAGATGCCATCTTTCCAACAGGATATCAAATCCTGAGGAAAGACAGAGGAAACAGAGGGGGTGGAGGAGTGGCACTGTTGGTCAAAAACCGATGTAATTTTGATGATCTGGAGAGAGGAGACAGTGGAGAAGCAAGGGATTACATAGTAGGAATGCTTCAGTCTGGAAGTCCCAAGGTGGGACAGTAGGAGGCCAAGGCAAGAATATGATGAGAGTAATAAAGCGATGGTTGACACACTGGGTGAAGTGGCAAGAAGGGCTCATGCAAGCAGGGCAAAGATACTGATCATGGGTGACTTCAGCCACAAGGAAATCAACTTGGAGAACTTGAAGCTACATGGGGGGAGGCCAAGAAATGTGGAGGGCTAAGATGATGGAGGTGGTACTGGAAAACTTCACATACCAACACGTAAGAAACACTACAAGAGAGAGAGAGGAGAGGATGAACCAGCAAGACTGGACCTAGTATTCACCTTGAGTAGTGCAGATACTGAGGGCATCAAATATGAAAGACTCCTTGGGGCCAGCGATCATGCGGTTTTAAGATTCGAATACACAGTAGAGCTACAAGTGGAGGGTGAAGCAGGAAGAGCTGGACGAAAGAAGCCAAACTACAAGAATGCAGGAATGAAGAACTTCCTGAACGGGTTCAGCGGGACAGAGAACTGGCAGAGAAGTCAGTAAACGAGATGATGGAAGAGGAGAAGGTTTGTACCCAAGGGTAACAGGATTAATAAAAAAGCCCTGCACCCAAAGGTGCAGGGAGGCCAAAACCAAGTGTGCTAGGGAATGGAAGAAGTAAAGAAGGCAAAGGACCCAGGAGAATAAGGAGAGCAGTCGTAGAGCCAGAAATGAATATGCACGGGCAAGAAAGAAGGTCCAATGGCAATATGAGAATGACATTGCAGCGAAAGCCAAATCTGACCCGATGCTGTTACACAGCCACATCAGGAGGAAAACAACAGTCAAGGACCAGGTAATCAGGCTAAGGAAGGAAGGAGGAGAGATCACAAGAAGCGACTGTGAAGTATGTGAGGAACCCAACATGAGATTCAAAGAAGTGTTCACAGAGGAGACAGAAGGGACTCCAGAAAGACGGAGAGGTGGGGTTCACCACCAGGAGTTAGACACAATGCATACAACCGAGGAAGAAGTGAAGAGGCTTCTGAGTGGGCTAGATACCTCAAAGGCGATGAGGCCGGATAACATCTCTTCTGAGAGAGGGAGCAGAGGCGCTATGTGTACCACTAACAACAATATTCAACACATCTATCAAAACAGGGCGACTACCTGAGGTATGGAAGACAGCAAATGTAGTCCCAATTTTTAAAAAAGGAGACAGATATGAAGTATTAAACTTTAGACCAGTGTCACTGACATTTATAGTATTCAAAGTCATGGAGAAGATTATCAGGAGAAGAGTGGTGGAACACTTAGAAAGGAATGAGCTTATCAACGACAGCCAATTCGGTTTCAGAGACGGGAAATCCTGTGTCACAAACCTATTGGGGTTCTGTGACAGGGTGACAGCAGCAAGATAAGAGAGAGAGGGGTGGGTAGATTGCATTTGACACAGTTCCACACAAGAGACTAGTGCAAAAGCAGGAGGATCAGGCAGGGATAACATGGATGGCGCTACAATGGATCAGGGAATACCTGTCAGGAAGAAAACGGCGAGTCATGGTATGTGGTGAGGTGTCGGAGTGTGCGCCTGTGCCGAGTGGAGTTCCACAGGGGTCAGTCCTAGGACCGGTGCTGTTTCTAGTAATTGTGAACAACATGACGGAAGGAGTAGACTCCGAAATGTCCCTGTTTGCAGATGATGTGAAGTTGATGAGAAGAATTCAATCAGACGAGGACCAGGCAGAACTACAAAGGAATTTGGATAGGCTGGAGACCTGGTCCAGTAACTGGCTCCTGGAGCTCAACACTACCAAGTGCAAAGTCATGAAGATTGGGGAAGGGAAAAGAAGACTGCAGAAGGAGTACAGTCTAGGGGGCCAGAGACTACAAACTTCACTCAACGAAAAAAATCTTGGGGTGAGTATAACACCAGGCACATCTCCTAAGCCAGACATCAACCACAACTGCTGCAGCATATGGGCGCCTAGCAAACCTAAGAACAGCATTCCGATATCTTGATAGGGAATCTTTCAGGGCCCTGTACACCGTGTACGTTAGGCCTATATTGGAGTATGCAGCACCAACTTGGAACCCACACCTAGCCAAGCACGTAACGAAACTAGAGAAAGTGCAAAAGTTTGCAACAAGACTAGTCCCGGAGCTAATGGGTATGCCTTTCTAGGTGAGGTTAAGGGGAATCGACCTGACAACACTGGAAAACAGGAGAGATAGGGGAGACATGATAACAACATATAAAATACTAAGAGGAATTAACAAGGTGGACAGAGACAGAATGTTCCAGAGATGGAACACAGCAACAAGGGGTCACAGTTGGAAGTTGAAGACTCAGATGAATCAAAGGGATGTTGGGAAGTATTTCTTCAGTCAGTAGTCAGGAAGTGGAATAGCTTGGGAAATGATGTAGTGGAGGCAGGATTCATACATAGCTTGAAGCAGAGGTATGATAAAGCTAATGAGGAGGGAAGAGTGACCCAGTAGCGGCCAGTGAAGAGGCGGGGCCAGGAGCTATAACTCGACCCCTGCAACCACAACTAGGTGAGTACACACACACACATACAACATGGGTTTGAACTGTGCGGTCAACTTTTTCGCAGATTTTTCAGTAAATATACTGTCATTTTTTTGAGAGAGAGAGTTGCCACCGACAATAAGAAGAAAAAGTTAGGTATGTCTTGAATGCATAAAATATATATAAAACAAATATATTATAAAAAGTTAAAATATATCAAATCTTACACACAAAACAATTACAGATCGTACATATTCCATCCACGGTCGAGAGATATGCAAAAATGTAGTAGTAGTAGTAGTAGTAGTAGTAGTAGTAGTAGTAGTAGTAGTAGTAGTAGTAGTAGTAGTAGTAGTAGTAGTAGTAATAGTATAATAATAATAATATAAATATAAATAATAATATAAGTATATAATAGACATAGTATAGTAAGTAATAATAATAGTAGTAATAATAATAATAATATAAATAATAGTAGTAATAATAATAAGTAGTAATAATATAATATATATATAACAATAATATAATAGTATATATAGTAGTAATAATAATAATAAATATAATAATATATAATTTCTTGTAGTGAGTGAGGAGTAGTAGTGTGTGAGTGTGTAGAGTGCGTGAGGGAAAGAATAAAATAAAATATAAAAAACTAAAATTGATAAGGAATAAAATAAAATATAATATTTACTCTAATTTACAATTTAGGTTTCCCTTACCATCAAATATTCTTCATCTGGTACAAAAGTTGTCTAAAACATATGTAAGATAAATCCACAAATTCTGTTTCTCCTCTTGCCCCTACACATCCTCTCTTG